CTTCCTCTCCTTTTCTCTCTCTTTCCCTCCTCCTCTTTCTTTTCCTCTCTGTCTCTTTCCCTCCCTCTCTCTTCCCCCCTCTCTCTCTTTCCCTCCCTCTCTTTCCCTCTCTCTCTCTCCCTCTCCTCCCCTCTCTCTTTCCCTCTCTCTCTTTCCCTCTCTCTTTCCTTCCTTCTCTCTTTCCCTCTCTCTCTTTCCCTCCCTCCCTCTCCTCCCCCTCTCTTTCCCTCTCTCTTTCCCTCCCTCTCCTCCCTTCCCTCTCTTTCCCTCCCTCTCTCTTTCCCTCCCTCCCTCTCTCCCTCCCCTCCCCTCTCTCTTTTCCTCTCTCTCTTTCCCTCCCCCTCTCTTTCCCTCTCTCTCTTTACCTCCCTTCCTTTCCTCCCCTCTCTTTTCCTCTCTCTCTCTTTCCCTCTCTCTTTTTCCCTCCTCTCTCTTTTCCTCCCTCCCTCTTTCCCCCTGTCTCTTTCTTTTCCTCTTCTACTCCTCTCCTTCTCTCTCTCTTTCCCTCTTTCTCTTCCCCCTCTTCTCTCTGTCTCTCCCTCCCTCCTCCCTCCCTCCCCCCTTCTGAAAATCTCTTGCTCTGCAGTGCCAGGATGCTTTGCTTGGTCTCTCAGAACCAGCCAGGAGAGGCTGCAGCAAACTTGGAGGGAAGGGAAGGAAGTTGCAAAGTGCAGCCTTGTCTCTGACCAGGATGCCTCCACGGTTGCTCTGGGCCTGTCTGGGGTTTTTTTTTGGGGGGGGGCAGAGTTTTGTTGTACCCTGTTGCACAGCCTAAGCATCCGGCTGAATTCCCCAGCAGCACAGCGCCCCCCCCCCTTGCCTGTTCAGCATAGGCCTGCCAGGGCCATGTTTGGGCGGGGGGGGAGACATGGTAGCAGCTGCTGCCCCCTCATTAAAATGCACACCTGCTCCCAGCAGATGCCGCGGGTGCTGCTACTGTGCCCATTTTCCTTTCAGTTTGGTCTGGATCCTGCCCATCTCATTAACTCAGAGCGTCCCCAAACTTCAGGGGATTCTCACGTAGGGTTTCACCAAGATGATTGAAAGTGGACGCTGAAAAAAGAGAGTGGGAGGGAAAGAGAAAAAAAACAGACTCCCTCCTTCCTTTCCTCTCCTCTCCTCTCCTTTCCTTTCCTTTCCTTTCCTTTCCTTTCCTCCCTTCCTCTCCTTTCCTTTGCTCTCCTTTCCTTTCCTTTCCTTTGCTCAGTTTTGTTCTAAAAGTTTGTGCAAGGTGCTTATGAAGGCCCCTTAGGTGGGTGGGACTGGGACCTTCAAGCCTTTTCCAGCAGCAAATGTGGAAACTTAGCCAAGCAACCCCCTCCCAGAACAAAGAAAAACTTTGGCATTCTTTAACTCTATATTCTGGCGCAGGGTGGGGAACTGTGGCCTTTTTAGGACCGGTGGACTTCAACTCCCAGAATTCCTGCTGGCTCAGGAATTCTGGAGTTGAAGTCCAGATTATAAAAGGGCCATGGTTCCTCACCCCTATTCTAGAGAATAGAATTAGAATAGAGTAGAGTAGAGTAGAAATAAGAATAGAACAGAATAGAATAGAATAGAGTAAAAATAAGAATAGAATAGAGTAGAAATAAGAGTAGAATAGAATAGAGTAGAGTAGAAATAAGAATAGAATAGATTGTAGAATAGATTATAGAATAGAGTAGAGTAGAAATAAGAATAGAATAGAATAGAATAGAAATTAGAATAGAATAGAGCAGAAATAAGAGTAGAATAGAATATAATAGAATAGATTGTAGAATAGATTTAGAATAGAACAGGACAGAATAGAATAGAGTAGAGTAGAAATAAGAATAGAACAGAATAGAATAGAGTAGAGTAAAAATAAGAATAGAATAGAATAGAGTAGAAATTAGAATAGAATAGAGCAGAAATAAGAGTAGAATAGAATAGAGTAGAGTAGAAATAAGAATAGAATAGATTGTAGAATAGATTATAGAATAGAGTAGAGTAGAAATAAGAATAGAATAGAATAGAAATTAGAATAGAATAGAGCAGAAATAAGAGTAGAATAGAATATAATAGAATAGATTGTAGAATAGATTCTAGAATAGAACAGGACAGAATAGAATAGAGTAGAGTAGAAATAAGACTAGAATAGAATAGAACAGAACAGAACAGAATAGAATAGCAGAGTAGGAAGGGACCTTGGAGGTCTTCTAGTCCAGCCCCCCACTCAAGCAGGAGAATACAGTAGTTCTCTATTAGCTGTATTAATTTCAAGAAACCACTCCACCAAGCATGCCGTGCAGTTCTGCTCACTGTGCGTCACCACCAGTAGCTGTGAAATGGCTTTTTAGCAGCCGGTGGAAAAGAAGGAACTCTTGGGGAAGAAAACTTCTGCCTCTGACAAATCCTGGAATAACAACGTAAGGCGAAAAAGTGGGGATTCTTTGGTAGAAATGGTGCAAATGGCAAATTAGGAGCCACCCAGCTCAGGGAGCACCCAGGACCCCTCGCAAGGTGGCCCTTCCTGGGCTCAGCCTGCAGCTCAGCTTGGCTGTGTTGCCCCTTCACACACACACACACACACACACACACACCCCAGAGACACCTCCTCCGATCGACCGGTCCTTGCAAAGGGCCCTGCCAAATGGAGAGGGCCGTTTCGATGGGTGGGCCAGTTGGCTCCGGCTCCTTTTGGCGATGCGTAACAGATGGACAAGGTGACCAGTGGACGGCCGTTGCCAGGCTATCTTTAAAAGCAAAGGCAAGAAAAATACAAATAAACCCCCCCTCTTGCGGCCCTAGGGCTCCGGCCGACGGGTCTTTGAGTGTAAATCCTGGTTATGGAAGGAGCTTTGGGTTTTCAGGAAAGGATGAAACTATTGTGTGGAGCATTAAGCTTGCAAGGGACTAAAGTGGGCTTTAGGCAGGTCAGCACACACACAAAAAAGAGCCATTAGCTTTTGAAATGTAGAGGCAAACGGGAATTAAACCCAGTTTCATTCTCCTTGACTTACGGCCATTTGTTTAGTGACCGTTGGAAGTGACTTGCCATCATCGCAAGCGTCTCCAGGGTCACATGAGCAGAAGTTGCAAACTGTTTCCCATCCCAATGGCTTAAGTGGAGCTCCCATCTTTCTCCAGGATCTCAGAATTTAAACCAGTTGTTTCACAACCAGGGTTTAAGACAAGTCAGTAGACTTCGGTTCCCAGGGAGCTGAAGTCCACCTATCTTAAAGTGGTCAAAGTTGGGAAAATACTGAAGGTTGTAAACCTCTCCCACCCCCCAAAAAAAGAGTTTTGAAAATCTAAAAGAGCGAGAGAAAGCCATTTTGAGTGGGAATAATAATAATAATAATAATAATAATAATAATAATAATAATAATAATAATAATAATAATAATAATAATAATAATAATAATAATAATAATAAAGTTGGAAGGGACCTTGGAGGTCATCTAGTCCAACCCCCTGCTCAGGCAGGAAACCTTTGTACCATTTCAGACAAATGGATGTCCAGTTTCTTCTTAAAAACTTTCAGTGTTGTAGCATTCACCACTTCTGGGGGCAGGTAGTTCCACTGGTTAATTGTTCTAACTGTGCTAGATGGTGATTTTAGAGAACCAGTGGACACCCTTCTCTCAGCTTCCAGTGTCCTGCATATTTATTGTGCAAAGTCTTCCCAGAGATTAAAAAAAGAAACATATTCTTTAAAAACTCTCCTAGGGCTAGAAAAATGGTCTACAATGTGGACAGGTGCTTTAAGTTGGAAATGTGGAACGTAAAAGGTCTGTTTGTCATGCCTGGTGGATTTGCAAAAATGCCCGAACATTCTGGGTTCCAATACACCCGAGGAATTTTAAAGATCAATATTCAATGAAAACCAGAACTTTTCCTGTGTGGCAATTAGAAAAGGGTTGTGGAAAGTGGCTTTTCTATATGATAACCGCTGTGAGGTTTTTTTTTTCTTCTATATGTACGAAAATGAAAAGACTCTGAAATACCCACCATGGAGGAATGGTTGGTGAAGATGCAGGATTAGCAAAGGTAGCACAATTGACCTGTCTGTTTAGGGAAAGGAGAATAACTGCATGTATCGGTGCCTGGAAACCCTTTATGGGCTTTTTGCTAAAAAAGAAAAAAACGAACCTGTGATTTTATGAGCTCGATGATTAGAAAGGGTAGACTGTGGAAATAAGAGATGGCAAAATATAAATGTAACTGCTGTTAAGATTGAAAGTTGCTTCTTTACAGTATCACTTTTCCTTCTTTCCTTCCTTCCTTCCTTCCTTCCTTCCTTCCTTCCTTCCTTTCTTTCTCTTTCTTTCTCTCCTTCCTTCTTTTTTTTTTCTCTCTCCCCTTCCTTCCTTCCTTCCTTCCTTTCTTTCTTTCTTTCTTTCTCTTTCTCTCCTTCCTTCTTTTCTTTCTTTCTTTCTTTCTTTCTTTCTCTTTCTCTCCTTCCTTCTTTTCTTTCTTTCTTTCTCTCTCTCTCTCCCTTTCCTTCCTTTTCTTTCTTTCTTTTTCTTTCTCTCCTTCTTTTCTTTCTTTCTCCCTTTTTTCCTTCCTTCCTTTTCTTTCTTTCTTTCTTTTTCTTTCTTTCTTTCTCTCCTTCCTTCCTTCTTTTCTTTCTTTCTTTTTCTTTTTCTTTCTTTCTTTTTCCCTCTTTCTTTTCTTTTTCTTTCTTTCTTTCTTTCTTTCTTTCTCTCTCTCTCTCTCTTTCTTTCTTCACATTATTTTACTTTTTTTCAAAATTTGCATTCTTTTTATTCTTTTAAGAATTCCTTTCATAGAAGTCACGTTAAGAAAAACCCTCCTGTAAAATGAGCCAGAGAGACTGGATCTTCTGTAGCAGTGTGGTTAAGGCTGTCGTTCGTTCAAATCCTGCTCTCAGCTCCTCCTGATCCTCCGCCCGCCAACACCAGGAGGGCAGAGGGCTGGGGGGCATTGCAAAGGCCGCTGAAGGACGGCCGGACAGCTGTGGATTGTTCCTGCAGGTCTCTGGCTGACCCTCTTCTTCATCCTCCTCCCTTTCTTAGATGCTCCAGTGACTTTGTCGGCCGTCGGTGCCAGTTCCAAAATTTGTGTCTCAGCTCCCCCTGTAAGAATGGCGGCACCTGCCACCCCGTGGTGGACGGCAACACGGCTGATTACGTCTGTTCCTGCCGCCTGGGCTACATCGACAAGCTGTGCCTGACCATGGAGGATAACGCCTGCCTGAGCGGCCCCTGTCGCAACGGAGGGAGCTGTGACCTTGTCACCCTGACCGAGTACAAATGCCGCTGCCCTCCAGGCTGGTCAGGTGAGAGAGCAACTGGCACACATTCCCAAATACCCTGGGGACCCTTTGAGAGACCTGCAACCCCAACCCTGGTAGAATCCCACTTCTCAGCTGCAGAACCAAGCCCGGCCTTATGCGTTTGATGTGTCCTTGTTGGGATTGCAAGGAAGAGCTTTCATTTTTTTTCCGGTCTTCCCGGTGACAGCTGGAACTAGGGGGTGCCAAAAGCATCTGTCAAGGTTCCTACTGACGAACCCAACCAAGCCAGCATCCTTGAGATGTTCCGATCTCTTAGGCAAAACTTTATTGGGCACATCATTTCGGCACGTATGAAAGCAAAACCAACTCTGGCTAATTCCATCCCCCCCCCCAACTATATGGTAAAAGCAAAGAATTCTCTCTCCTCCCATTTGGGCAGGTCCCATTGTCCAATTAAGCGTTACAATATTGTTATGAGAAAATGTCTCTGAGGTCAGGCAGACACCTGGTGAAGCGTCTTTGGTTCTCATGGACCGACTTCTTGATATCTGGAACCTGTCCTCCAATTCCCCCTCCCCTCCTCCCAAGTATGTTGGCAAGCTGAGAAGCAGTAATGGTGGCAACAGCATAAGCGTGCTCCGAACCTGACACCCCCTCTTTCCATTTTTCAAAGGTTTCTCTCCACAAAAGAGAAAAGCCTGCCTTGTGTACTCTTGACTATTTAGACCAGTGTTTCTTAAACTTGGCAACTTTTACGATGTGTGCATTCAACTCCCGGAAATCTCCATTCAGCAAGGGATCACTGGAGAATTCTGGGAAATGAAGTCCTCCCATCTTAAAGTTGCCGACTTTGAAAAACGCTGATTTAACTGGTTCTGCCTGTCATGGGGGAGGTGGAAGAGAAGGGTGCAGGCTCCTTCGAGCAGGTCTCCAGCACAGGGACAGGCACTGTCCCCGTTTAAAAATGTTTAATTCTCGGATCAAGGTATCCCTGTAGACAAAAACCCTAAAATGGAAGAAAGGCAGCAAAAATGTGCATTTTTAAAGAAGCCAGTGAAAATTGAATAAAGGCGTTTGCAACTCTTTAAAAGCGTTAAAACGATTAGCCCTGGAAAAAGGGAAATTTTCGGGTCCTATTTGTGGCATTTCTGGGCTCTGAATGTTTGTCCGTCTCTTTGGCCGGCAGGCAAGACGTGTCAGCAGGCCGATCCCTGTGCCTCTAACCCATGTGCCAACGGCGGCCAGTGCGTGCCCTTTGAGTCCAGCTACGTGTGCAGGTGCCCGCAGGGCTTCCACGGGGCCACCTGCAAGGAAGACCTGAACGAGTGCAGCCGGACGCCCCCCATCTGCAAGAACGGCGGGACCTGCGTCAACGAGATCGGCTCCTACCAGTGTCACTGCCGGCCGGCCTACACGGGCTCCAATTGCGAGCACCTCTACGTGCCCTGCAACCCCTCGCCTTGCCAGAACGGGGGCACCTGCCAGCAGACGGGAGATGTGGCCTACGAGTGCACCTGCCTTGCAGGTAATGCTGGCCTGCCTGGGCTCACCCAGGGGTGTCAAAGGCGCGATGTCACGTGACGTGTCGCGACGTATCGTGACTTTTTTCCCCCATGGTCGGCAATGGGGTGGGCGCGCTTTCGCCATGACGCATCCGGCCCACAGGCCGGCAGTGGACACCCCCTGCTCTAACCCCTGCCTGACCCAAGAGCGATACGGAGGGCATCTGTGGACGCCATGTTCCAAAAGCTCAGCTGGCGTGACCCTCACAGAGTAGCCTGGCCCAACCCTAATTTCTTCACTTCCTGACTTGGTTCTTCCCCCCTCCCCCTTTTCCTACAATGCCCCCATTTGCATTTCTGGCTCCCTCTTCCATCGGTCTTCTGCAGGATGCGGGGATACTTGAAACAGCCATTAGCAAATGGGACACATATACAGCTCACAGGCCCCTTGGCTGCTTCTGCTCCGTGGCTTTCTCCTTGAGAGAGTTGGGAATCTATGGAGAAGCCATATAAGGAAATGAAAATAGCCACTGCTTTGTTCCTGGCAGCCAGCTTGGGGTGGGAGGGAGGGCTGGACCACCCCAGAGAGACCTGTACTTTCTACTGCAGTGAAACGTCATCCCTTGCTGGGGACATGACAGTGATGATGGATAGGCATCAAACCGTGAAGAAGAAAGCCAGCCAACGTTAGCTCTGACCGTGATTAGTACAACTGGGAAACAGCAACAACCACAACAACATATAATAAAGAATAAACAAAGTAGCACCTAGAACCCATTCATCAAAAAAAGCCCCACGGCCATCCCTAACCTGTTTCTTGGAAGGTGCTCTGCAATAGAACAAACTAGGGGGTGGCCAGTTGTCCCTTTCGCGTTTTTCAACCGGGGAAACTAAAAGCTATGGACTTCAACTTCCAGAATTCCCCAGTCAACATGCTGGCTGGGAATTCTGGGAGCTGAAGTCCCCAAAAGCTGCTAAGATTGAGACACACTGACCTAAAGCAGCTGGCCTTGATCTGTTTGATTATCAACTAGGTCAGGGGTAGGCAACCTTGGCTCTTTTATGACTCGTGGACTTCAACTCCCAGAATTCCTGAGCCAGCATGGGGGAACTATGGCCCCCCCTCATGACTCGTGGACTTCAACTCCCAGAATTCCTGAGCCAGCATGGAGGAACTATGGCCCCCCCTCATGACTCATGGACTTCAACTCCCAGAATTCCTGAGCCAGCCTGGCTCAGCTTGGAAACCTCTCCCTTTCCCCTCAGCATGGCTGGCTCAGGAATTCTGGGAGTTGAAGTCCACCAGTCATAAAAGAGCCGAGGTTGCCTACCTCTGGCCTAGGCCGCTTTATGACTTCAACTCCCAGAATTCAACTCCCAGAATTCCTGAGCCAGCGCAGCTCAGCTTGGAAACCTCTCCCTTTCCCCTCAGCATGGCTGGCTCAGGAATTCTGGGAGTTGAAGTCCACGAGTCATAAAAGAGCCAAGGTTGCCTACCCCTGAACTAGGTGCTGGCTAAAAATGTAGGGATCTGGAATTGCAAAATTCTCAGAACGCCCTAATCCAGGGAAGGCTGGATTATTTACCTCAGGGGTCTTCAAACATGGCCCTTTTATGACTTGTGGACTTCAACTCCCAGAATTCCTCAGCCAGGCACGGCTGGCTGAGGAATTCTGGGAGTTGAAGTCCACAAGTCATAAAAGGGCCAAGTCTGAAGACCCCTGATTTACCTCACTGTTACAGGTTGATGTGTTACTTCCCCGGTGTTGGATTTCCCTTTTGTGACTTCCTGTCTTTGGGGACTCGGATGCTGGTCTGTTGTGGGCCAGATGTGGGCTGTTCTCTGCAGGGGTGGGGTGGTTCTTGATGGCAGGAAAGCTGTGAGGCTCCAGTTCTTGGCCTTGTTCAGAGACAGCTTTGTCTGATTGGCATATCGGTGCGTCCAAGAAAAAACATTTTTTCTTGACTAGGAAGAACACAGGAAGCAAAGCTGGTCCAGCTCTGTTAGCTAGCCCAAGAGAGCAGGAGCCAGCTAAATTAGCACTAAGTTAATAAGTGGATGGGGGACCACTAGGAAATCCAGAGTCAAGTGGCCCTGAAATCGAATTTCAGGCTGTCCTCGTTTAGTGACTGCCTGTTTTAAGCCCCCGTTCTCGGTCACGACAGGGAGTGAAACGTAACTGGGCCACCAATCCTTGCATGTATAACTTTTGCAGGTTGGCCCAGCAAAGGAAAGCTACAGTAAGATCAGAAGCCCAGTGGCAGTTTCTCTGTTTTGCTTAAGGACTGAGCTGTCGGTCCCCATCTGGCTGTTAAATGAGGACTCTCCTGTAAAATAATGTCAGAGAAATAGAAAGGAAAATCCCAAAGCTGCAGGCTAGACTGGGAAATTTAGGGAAAGCGAAAGGCAGAAGAGGATCGTGGCAGATCTCTTCCGTACTGTTGCTAAGACAACTCCATTAAATAAAACAGGCACCGGAGTCTTTTCACGGAGTCAAGCTCTCCATTTAGCTCCAGTTCTGGAGAAGGAGTCTCCTACTGCCTGGACTGGGGTCTCCTGCCCAGGAAACTAGATCTTGATGTGGGTTTGGGGCCCTGGGGTTTTCCTTCCATCTCACCTGTCCTTTTGCCCCTCCTCGGCTGGCAGGCTTCGCGGGTCAGAACTGCGAAGAGAACCTCGACGACTGTCCCGGAAACAGCTGCAGGAACGGCGGGACCTGTGTGGACGGGGTGAACACCTACAACTGCCAGTGCCCACCTGAGTGGACAGGTGAGGACGCACGGACGGGAGGGTGGGAAAATCAGAGAACCCCCCCCAACGGGAGGAAAAAGTCAGGCTTTGCCCCAGGTGGACCTGAGGATGGCGTTGGGTGTGAACTTTTGCTCTCTTAGCCAAATTTGAAATCCCACCACCAGCTTTTTTTTAAAAAAAAAAACAACAACATATTTTGTTGTTGCTAGAATTAAGGATCTGAAAGCAAGACAGCTGTCCTTTGGAGGCTTCCTTACGATTCATGAGACCCTTCCCACTCCGCAATTTCCTTGTCTTTCAATATTCCCCGTTTTCAAGGAAAACGCCCGAGCGATTTGGAGAGACTCGTCTGGAAAGACGAGGTTGGGAGATTGCATCGCTCGCCTGTAGGCTCGGCTGACCTGGGATTGTGTTTCAGGCAGACCGTACAGGTGGGGAGTCCTTGACTCACAACTGCAATGGAGCCTGCCCATCACAGTCGCAAGTTGTGATGGCCGTAAAATGGGCCTGTCACACGACCAGCCTGGTTTTATGACCTTTTTTTTGCAGAGGTCATTAAGCAAATCACGGTCCTTAATGGAATCACCTTAGCTGTTAAGCAAACCGAGGGTTCTCTGAGGGTGTCGTTTTGTGGAAAACCGGAAATAAGTGCTGGTTTTCCGCAAAACCTTCGTAAAACACGGTCATGTGACCGCGGGATGCCGAAAAGGAACACAAAGGCAACCGTGGGGGCCAAGCGTCCAGTTGGTCACGTGACCGTGGGGGGGGGGGACACACGACCCTCAGGGCTTTGAATCTGAGTCATAAGTAACCCCAAGGTGGGCGTGTCCTAACTTCAAACGGTCACTAAGCAATCAGTCGTAAGTCGAGGACTTCATTGCATTAAAAGAACAGAGACCTGAAGAAATGCGTGCAAAAATAAAACGTGAATTTTCAAAGGTTTAAAAAAAAAAAAAATTTGGCCACTAGGTCGGAAAAATAAAGGTCAAAAACATTCTTGATCGCCTGTCATAAAAATGCAGAGTGTGGCTGCGAGCGTGTGCGTGTGCATAAGAGGACGGGGGCGCTTCATGCTCAGCCAGCAGATTTCATTCTACTTTTGAGCCTAGATACAGGTGGCTGTTGAGTTACGACCACAGTCCAGCCCAAAATTTCTGTTGTTAAGCGAGACATTGGCGAAGTAAGTTTTGCCGCATTTTGCGACCTTTCTCACCATAGTTGTTAAGTGAAGCACAGCAGTTCTTAAGTCAGTAACCTGGTCGTTAAGTGAATCTGGCTTCCCCCCCCCCATGGACTTTGCTTGTTGGAAGGCCGCAAAAGAGGATCACGTGACCCCCCCATGGGATGCTGCAACCGTCAAAAGTACGAGTCGGTTGCCCAGCGTCTGAATTTTGATCACGTGACCCTGGGGATGCTCCCTTTTTCCAGTGCCGTTGTAACTTCGAACGGTGTCTGAATGAGCTGTCATATGTTGAGGACCCCTGGGTAACCCATCCTGGTCCTTCTCCTGGGAGGGCCGTAGAGAGGCTGACCTGCACCAGTTGGGGGTCTCCCTCACCCCCAGCCCCGTGAATAACTTGATCCGCCCGGCTCTTTCCCTTTTAGGCCAGTACTGTGCCGAAGATGTGGATGAATGTCAGTTGATCCCCAATGCTTGCCAGAACGGCGGCACCTGCCACAACACCCACGGCGGCTACAACTGTGTCTGTGTCAACGGCTGGACGGGCGAGGACTGCAGCGAGAACATTGACGACTGCGCCAGTGCTGCTTGCTCCCCGGGGGCCACGTGCCACGACCGGGTGGCCTCTTTCTATTGCGAGTGCCCACATGGGCGGACAGGTGCGTACCCAAGGGAGAGACACGGAGAACGGTGGCAGGAATTGGGTGCTAGCTTGCTACTATTTTCCATTAAGCCCAGATGGATACGGTTCAGTATAGCACCTAGGCGAGCAATTCAATAACCAGGTTGCCTCCTCTTGTGGCAGTGGGGCCATTGACTGTCTGTTGGTTAGCCTGCGCTGCAGATGGATGGTGGAGCATCTTTGTGTGTCTGGGTGTGTGTGTGTGTGTCCCTTTCTCTTTCTGAGTCCGCCCTCCGCCCTCTGCAGGTTTGCTGTGCCACCTGGACGACGCCTGCATCAGCAACCCTTGCAATGAAGGTTCCAACTGTGACACCAACCCGGTCACCGGGAGGGCCATCTGCACCTGCCCCTCGGGGTACACGGGGGCCGCCTGCAACCTGGACGTGGACGAATGCTTACTGGGTAAGGAGGCCGCCTTCCGCACCGGGGCCAGGGGCACCGGGTGGGAGTGGGACCCGTGGAGCTGGCCCAGATGACGCTGGCGCTGAAGAAAAGTCTGGTGGGGAACTGGAACAGAAAACTGGTCTTAGGAGGCAGGGCGGCGCCCCTCGGGAGATTCGGGGCCCAGAAAAGCCAACCTGTGAATTTTTCATTTTTTTTTATATTAAATTCATTTGCAGTTCGAGGGGACTCTGAATCTAAGCGGTGTCAATCTGAAATTCATCAGCTCATCAATTTGCTTCATGAGGTTTCCTTAACCTCCAAACATTTTATGATACAAAGAGGATTAAATCCATACTACTTTTAACTAATGGCAGTACGGATGATAATACCAGCGACCCCATTGGAGCTTGGGGGGGTCAGTATTGGCTCCTTTGGGGAACCCCCATTAGGGTGACCCAATCCAACAGGCCCGCAGCCACCATCTTCCTCTGGACCAGTCAGGATGGGGGAGGGGGTACTATTTACAAGGGGAAGGGGGGGGAAAGGCTTTTGCAGCTGGAAAAGATGGGGCTTTTGTTTGGGGCCCCCCGTAATACAGGTAGTCCTCGACTTACAACAGTTCATTTAGTGACCGTTCAAAGTTACGACGACTACTTTTACCCTTACGGCCGGTTTGGCACCCCCCTCCCCCCCGGGGTCACGTGATCAAAATTCAGTTGATCATATTTATGACCGTCACAGTGTCCCAGGCGGGGGGGGGGGGCGATGATAGGATCCCCTTTGGCGACCCTCTGACAAGCAAAGTCAACGGGGAAGACGCCAGATTCACTTAACCGTGTGACCCGACTTAAGCACTTGGGCGCTTCATTTAACAGCTGTGGTGAGAAAGGAGGGAGCGAAAATAGGGAGCAAAAGTCGCTTAACAGGTGTCTCGCTTAACGGCAGAAAATTTGGGGCTCTGTTGCGGTCGTAGGTTAAGGACTACCTGGCTTTCAAAAGTCCCCGGGGTTTGGTGGAAGATTGCATTTGCCTCGTTTGCTGCAGTGCTGGTTGGACCAGAAAGACTGCTTTGGAGTTTGGGGGGTGGGTGTGTGAAACGAGGACAGGGGAAAGACTCGGATAAGGACCTCTTGTAGCCCTCCTGGCTGCTCACACAGCACCTTCCGGGCACGGTGCCTCACCTCCTCTTCCCTCCGCTGGCCGGACAGGTGCCAACCCCTGCGAGCACGCTGGGAAATGCCTCAACACGGAGGGCTCCTTCCAGTGCCAGTGCCAGGCGGGCTACTCGGGCCCCCGCTGCGAGATCGACGTCAACGAGTGCTCCTCCAACCCCTGCCAGAATGATGCCACCTGCTTGGACCAGATCGGGGTCTTCCAATGCATCTGCATGCCAGGTAACCCTGCCCGCCCTTCCGGGCACCCTGGTGGGCGAGTGACGGAGGAGAAGAGGTGGCCTTGCACTCCTTTAGTGCTTGGCTTGGTTTCGTAACTGCGCCCTCTTTCGGGGTGCCCTCCGGTCCAGGCCCCTGGCAAGGGGGACGGCAGTGCTCCCCACGAGCCTGGGTAGGGCTGGAGCCCGTGGTGGGATTCAGATAGGCGAGCAACCGGTTCTCTGTGTGGATGCCGCTTCCGGAAGTCCGTTCTGGGCCTGGGCAACCAAAAAATTAGCTGCCGGTTCTGCCGAAGTGGTGCGAACCGGCTGAATCCCACCACTGCGCTGGAGCGGTGGTGGGTGAGCCAGGGCCAAAACGGCCCTGGAGTCCTCATGAACCAGGCAGGATTGCCGTGTTTGCACACACCACGCCAAGCGCAGCTAAAGGCGCCCGATTGTGCTGCTTTGCCCGGTTGCTTCGTGGAACCACTTAAGGCGGGGAACTGCAGGCTGCCAACTCCAAGAAACGAGGCAGCTGACTTCTCACAGCGGAATAAATGAACCCAACAAACTGGATTTGCGGAACAGCCACATAAAAATGCCAAGCCAGGTTTTAAAAAAAACCCGATTTTTAGCACCGAACCTGCCCCTCGGTCTTTAACTGGCATGATTCAGCATCCCGGATGAAGTCAGCTAAGTGTATGTGTGTGTGTGTGTGCATGAGAGAGAGAGAGAGAGAGAGAGAGAGAGAGAGAGAGAGAGAATCTCATGCTGTGCCCTGTTTTTCCAACTTCTTCCTTGCTCTTTTCTCCCTACTTGTCCCTGCTTTACAAAGGCCCGAATTGATCCCTTGGCGAGAGAGCATGGGGCATTAAGTGGCTGAGCTGGCCAAGCTAACCACAGCTCAGAGGACTTAAAACTTAAAACTTCACTCAGGAGCCTGAGAGACACCGGAAGGGTTTGTTTCTGTGTGCCCTGAGATTGGCACCGGGCTGCCCGGCCCTTTAGCAAAGCGACGCAAGGGAGGATGTGAAGAAACTCTCGTTAAGGCAGAGTGGGAAGGCTGGCTGAGGGTGTGGGCACACCGCAAGATTTTGTCTCAACACTCCTTGGTCTGACCCCAGCAGGGGCTGTTTTCATAAAGCCGCAGAGGGGATGGGGACAGATTGCCCCGGGTCTTGACCAGTTGAGTAAGGAATTAAGATAAGACAAGACAAGACAAGACAAGACAAGACAAGACAAGACAAGACAGTGATGGCGAACCTTTTAGAGACCGAGTGCCCAAACTGCAACCCAAAACCCACTTATGCATCATCGGGTGCCGGGTGGGTGTGGCCCATTGGGTGGGCATGGCTGCGGTGGTAACGGCAGACTGGGTGGGACTAAAAAGTTCAATCAATCAATTCCAACTTTGCAAGATCTTTTTTTCCCCCGCAAGAAGTTGAAATTGATTGATTGATTGAACCTTTTTTTGTTTTGCATGTGGTGGCGGAGGCCTAAGGCAAAAAGGTTTTATAAAACCCAGCTGAAGGCCTAGGACTGGGGCGACGGCGCGCGTGCCCACAGAGAGGACTCTGAGTGCTGCCTCTGGCACCCGCGCCATAGGTTCGCCACCACAGAGATAAGATAACCTTTATTGTTGTTGTTTTTTTTTTACTGTGGGCACAACGGCACACATCAGAAATGAAATTTAGCTGCCCGCTCTCAAAGTGAACACATACATGACACACCCCTCAAACATACTATGTACAACCTATGTATAGACCCACACCCCTACATATACGTAGCGAATAAATATGAAATACTGTCCATCTTGAATATATAACGGAAGGAGGAAGCTTGAGAGTTCACAAGGTTAATAATGCTATATGGAATGAAACTATAAACTATTATGTTTTATCTTGAGTTTGGTGCACCCTGTCGGCCCAAATATGGGAGAAAGGAATCTTTTGCCTGTATCTGCTCAAACTAGAGCCATCCACAGGCTTAGCAGTCGCAACTGTGACATCATATGTGTTTTTCAAAATTTGGATTGCTAACAAAGAATTAAGGGAGAACTGGAATAGCCATTTCGAACTGTTTAGTTCTTTTCAACCAGACATACCCTTCTGAGATTCGAACCTTGGCTGTCTGCATGTTAGGCAGATGTATTAACCTCTAGACCACAGGCTCTTTCTCACTTTGTCAGCTATGAGACAGGGGAGAAGAATTATCTTGAGTTTGGTGCATTCTGCCTAACATGCAGACAGCCCAGGTTCGAATCTCAGAAGGGTATGTCTGGTTGAAAAGAACTAAAAAGTTCGAAATGGCTATTCCAGTTCTCCCTTAATCCTTTGTTAGCAATCCAAATTTTGAAAAACTATTATGTTTATATATGTGTAAGATTGTCATGGCTGCCCATCTTAAGCAACGGTGGGCAGTTCGCCACTGCAACAACAGCAACCGTTTGGCTAATGGATGAAGAGACCCCATTTTTTTTCTCGCCGTTCACCGCTGTTTCTCCTCCCTGCAGGCTACGAGGGTGTGTACTGTGAAATCAACACGGACGAGTGTGCCAGCAGCCCCTGCCTGCACAACGGGAACTGCGTGGACAAGATCAACGAGTTTGCCTGTCTGTGCCCTGTGGGTACGTGCAGTGGGGAAGGGGGGGGGCTCAGAGAAGACGATCGATCTTTGCCTATAGCACAAAGCTCTTTGTAGTGGAGTTGTGGGCTGGAATTAATCCCCCCCCAGCCCAGAGGCAGTGCGGAGGCTGGCGGGTTTAAGCCCAGCCAAAGCGGGGAAATGGCCCAGGGGTGTGTGTGTGTGGATCGTTTGCGTTGAGCTACTTAGCGGAGAAGGGCGGTTATGCTGGGGAGGGCTCTTAAAGTTCTGAAATGAGGCATGATTGGGAGGGAGGGAAAGCCTCCATGTCCAGCAGTTGTCTATCTCTGGACCCTCATCTCACGGGTGGGGAGCCTCCATGCCCAGCCGCTGTCTATTTCTGGACCCCCATCTCACGCACAAGGGTGGGCCATGGGGAGAGGACGTTGCTTTTTTAATGAACTTTTTAGAAGCTTAGCAGGTGGAAAGGTGTCTCTCTTTGGAGGGTGGACACAAAGAATTGCAAGGATACTGTCACAGCCTCTTCAGCGGTCTCCAATTCTTTGTTTTGGGGGGATGTTTTTGTTTTGGGGCCTTGGCTGTCCTGTGTAGAGGAAGCCTGGGATGGGGCCGGCCCCCCGTAGCGTTTTGTGGACAGGGCAGAAAGAGAAAAGACGAAGGGGTTTCATTGGTGCCCCCTTTGGTGCCTCCCTAGCTCAGCCCAAAATGGGGGGGGGCTCAGCCTGGTGGTGGAAAGGAAAGTGAGTGAAGAGGTAGGCACCGAAAAGAGGGGCTGTTTTTCTGTGAATTCCTGGCTTTATTCCAACCCTGGCTTTTGTTGACTGTGCACAGAGCCCACTTTTTTCTTGGAAGTCGGATGAGGGTCTGCTTTAGGTTGATCCCCTTGAAGTAGGTTGGGCTAAGAGTCCTGTGGCTTAGGAGGGAGTCGCCCCTAAGTCTCCTTAGTCCAGGCCACCTTTATAAGCCAGGGGTCTTCAAACTTGGCCCTTTTATGACTTGTGGACTTCAACTCCCAGAATTCCTCAGCCAGCAACGCTGGCTGAGGAATTCTGGGAGTTGAAGTCCACAAGTCATAAAAGGGCCAAGTTTGAAGACCCCTGTTATAAGCCCTGCCCTGTTCAGACTCTTAAATCCTCTCTCACCTGCAGCCATGTCAGATCTCTTAAACAACTGCAGTGATTTGCTTAATTATAGCAACAACAACAACAAAAAAGGTCACACTCAACAGCTTCCTTGCTTAGCAATGGAAATTCTAGTCCCAATTGTTGTCATAAGTGGAGGACTCTTATAAGTTGAGCCACACTGATTGTAGCTGATGCAGAGAGAGAGAGAGACAGACAGACAGACAGACAGACAGACAGACAATTCTCTTCTGCAGAGAATTAAAAAGGGACGATTTGCGGATTTGTTTCTGCCTCTTCTGTCTGGGAGAGCAAAGCGTTTTGGGCCTGAAGGAACCCCCCTTCTATTTGGGAATAGCTGGAGGGGGGAATGTTGAGTTTGTGGGGTACAGCAAGAGGAGGGGGAGGGAGGGCAGCTCATTTGTAATTCGTAAAACGGGCTTTGAAGCGGAGGCTTTAGAGATGTAAATCAGGAATCTTCAGGGCTGCGGCAGCCAAATAACTATTGCGGTGAGCTGAGAAGCAAAGTCTGGGGACTGAATGCCAATGAATTGGAAAGAGACGCTGAAATCTGGACCCTGTCTGCCTGCTGCCTGCCCCACCCTTGCAAGCAAAATGCAGCCATTGCAAGCGTCGTGGCTTTTGGGGGTGGGTGAGTGTTTTCGTAGGAAAAAGTCATCATTACAGCCTCATTTTTTATGTCTTATTACCTGGCTGCAAGACCAGCAGAGTCAATTGGTTGCGAACAGCATAGGAGCGTTAAAAACATTGGTGCAAAAACTGGGCTCAAATGGGCAGCTAAGCTGGTGGTTTAGTTGTGTGAACAGAGGACCCAGACCCACCAGGATGTGGTTGATTCATCGGAAGTGGCATGTTTTAACATGTGCTAAAACATACGAAGAACGGTTGCAGGATTTGGGTTTGGCTACTTTGATGAAGAGAAGGACGAGGGGGGACATGATAGCATCTTCCAATATTTGAGGGGCTGCCACAAAGAAGAGGGGGGTCAGGATAGTCTCCCAAGCACCTGAAGGCAGGACAAGAAACCATGGATGGAAACTAACCAAGGAGAAAAGCAACCTGGAATTAAGGAGAAACTTCCTAACAGTGAAAACAACCAGTGGAACGGAAGTTGCCTCCAGAAGTTGTGGGTGCTCCATCACTCGGAAGTTTTCAAGAAGAGACTGGACAGCCATTTGTCTGGAATTGTACAGGGTCCATCCAAGGTCCCTTCCCACTTTGTTATTCTCTTATTCTGTTTTGCAAATTCTTGTTTTGTGACCCTGTTTACAAAGGGAATAACTGGGAAAGCTTTTGGCAGCAAAATCCATGTTTTTGGGACATCTCGCTCATCCAGTATATTAAGACCCCAAATATCTGGATCTCATTCTTCATCTGTCTGAGAAAATGGAGGGCGATTAGCAAAAATTACGCAATTGTCAGTCCTGCAGCCCTCTTGGGATTTCATTTTGGATCAGTGGCCACAATTTTAGTTCTGTCATGAAATAAAAGTCCCTGTGGTGGGAAGGCCAAAAGCCTGGTGAGGAGGGAGGCCAGTGGAAACACTGATTTGCCGTTATTGCAGCCAAAAGTGGAATTTTAACTATTGCTGGGAAGGCAAGAGGACATGGGGACGTGGGCAGCCCCAGTGGCATGTTCTTCCTTTGATTTTGATTTCATTTCTCAGGATGCTTTTGGGGGGCAAGATGGGAAGGGAGGTCTTCTGGGTTTTCCAGGTTATCTGCAGGAACCGGCCATCATTATTAAAACAACTGGCTGAAGCCGACTTCAGTCATCCCAAAATGCTGATAGAAAAAGCGTTGAATGGACTCTTGGAAATCCATCAAGTTGTAGTTATTTTCTGCTTGTCTAGTTGCATGTCCTTCCTTGCATGGTTTAAAAGAGGGGGAGGGAATACTTCTGCCCCTCCCTCCCCAACCACTTCCATTAAACCCTGTTTGTTTAGGGAAGACTGCAACTGTGAAAAATCTGTGCCTGTGTGATGGGCAGAAAAAGACACCCCCCCCCTTGATTCCAAGGGGTTCTTTGGCGGGGGGGGAGCAAGCAGGAGCCAAAGAATCCTGGGTTAAGCTTGTCTCTGTTTCTCCCCCTCCCCCCCCAGGATTTAATGGTCACCTGTGTCAACACGACATTGATGAATGTGCCAGCACACCCTGCAAAAACGGAGCCAAATGTGTGGATGCACCAAACGCTTACGTGTGTGAATGCACAGAAGGTAAGCTGTGGGGTGGGGTGGGCAGAACAGAGGGAAGCCCATTTGGTCAGTCTTTTGGACCAGGTCCTGTGGGTGACAGTGAACGAACTAAAACCAGGCAAAAAAGTGCGATGGGATGCTAAGCAAGTGCAGCTGTTTTCATCCACAAAACACAGCTTCTAACACTTGCTGTGGGAGCAGAGGAATAGTGCCAGACCAAGATTCCCACTCTGATTCTGAGCAGGCAGCTTTACTGCACGGGGGAAAAATGGGGACAGGGTCTGGGTGACTGGCCTGGGGCCATTTCTCAGGGTGGGGTGCCGCTGTTCCCTTTGATTTTCTCTCTAACTGAGTCTTGGTTTTAATGGGCAGGATGCTCATTGCTGATATGATATGGGGAAAAAAATGTGTATCTGTTGTTGCTGTGGAGAATTTTGCAAATATATCCCTAAAAGGGAAGAATGGAAGATTGTGATTCTTCTACATTTCTCCTTTCAGAAGCACTAAACAGGGAGGTCTTGTTTGGTGACTGATGAAGCCTGCCGGGGTTTAAAGCTTGCTGGATCTTGGGGGAATCTCTCTCTCTCTCTCTCACACACACACACACACACACACAACTTCCTCATCTCGTGGGTAACTGGCTGTTTACAGAAGGCAGCTTCTGGCCACGTGGGTCAGGGAACAGCACCAGCATGATGGCCACATGCTGACCAAAATGATAAGCGTAACTCCTGTCCCGGCTTCGGCTTTGGCCCCGGGGGCAGAGTGTGTCAGCGTCTCTCTGAACCTCTTCTACAAACAGTGTGTGTTGCTGCTCCCATTTCCTGCCCGATGGGGCTGAGGGCGTCCTGAATTCAATGTAAAGTTCAGTTTAAAGTTCAGTGCCAATATCCCCCCCAAGTGGAAGCACTAAAAGAAAACCAGGCCTAACGCAGAATCTTTAGCAACCCCGTTTGTTTTCCCAGGTGTCCCCAAGTTCTTCCACCTTGCAGGCCTGGCCCTGAGGGAGAAAATAACAGAAAAAAGAAAAGAAAAGAAAACACACACACAGAGACACACACAGTTAACTGTGTCTGTAATAGTGCTGCAAATGTTTCAGCTCTGAGCTGAGGGAGGCGGGAGAGAGAGAGTGGGGCACCCCATTTCCTGCCTCCCGGCTCTGTCCGGACTTTTTCTCCAGCATGACGAGTGGAGAATCCACCAATGGGTTTTTCCCATCCTGGCTTCAAAAACAAATTGCCATTTGGGGCTAAGTCAGTGAGCCCCGTCTGGGCACCGTCCCCCTTTTTTCTGGCCCCACGTCGCTGGGCGCGGGAGGAAGGGGGGGGCGCAGGGCCGGGTGTGCCCTCGGACAAAACCCAGCCCGGGCAGCCCCCTCGGCAAACAGAGGGACTTTTGTGGGGCCGGCCGGCTGCCAGCAGCTCTTCCCTAATGAGCGATGAAAAGCCGCAATGTGGGCTTCCCGGGCGGGGAGGGGCAGGGGCAGTCAAAGGCCCACTTTGTCTGCCCGCTTGCCCCCCCCGCCGCCGCCCTCCTGCTTTTGTCCCGCTGCCTCCTGGCGGGAGGAGGAGGCGGGCGGGCGAGAGAAAGGGGCTGCTGTTGTCCCCTTTTGAATTCACTGCGCCCCCCCCCCCACCAAGCCGGATCCAGACAGGCAGGGAGGAGAGCCCAGAGCTGGCTGTGGGGGGGGGGGACCACGGGAGACAGAAGAAAAAAGCGTTTGTGTTTGCAAGAGGACGGAGCTTACACACACACACACACACACACACACACACACGAGCAGGGAGCCCAGTGTGGTGCTGTGCCCTGGCCTGGCAGCCTCCCTGCCACCCGGCCTGTCTCCTGCCCATGTCCCCTGCAACATCTCGGGGGGCCACGGGGACAGGCCTGCCGAGGGGGGGGTCCAAACCCCCAAAGGCACCCCGCTAAGGGCGAGCAGAAGCCACGACTGGCGGGATTGCTTGGAAGGAGGGGAACTCGCTCCAGGTGTCCCCCCCCAAAGCTGCAAAACGGTCATGCCCGTTTATCTGAGTTTCTCCCCCCCCTCTCCCCGAGAGAGACCCTTTCTTGCTTTGGGTACCCTGGTTTTGTCGCCAGCCCCCCCCCAGTCCACGCTTTCTGAGCGTCCCAGAGTTCGGAGGGCGAGGGGGGGGAGAGGCAGAAACAAGAAGGGCCTTCTTCTGTAGCACACAAGCTCCCCCCTTGATTAATATTCTTTTGAGCGCAAAGAATTGGGCTTTTTAGGGATGGAGGTCAGGGATCTCGCGGGCTCCCAGCAAGACGCTGGGGAGGGAAGGAGGGAGGGAGGGCGGCGTTGGAGGCCACCACACTCTCCTCTGGTGGAGGAGGACTTGAGCCTTCCCCAGTTGCCCACCCAGCCTACTCCTTTTCCTTCTCATGGACTCCCACCCTTCTGGCTGGGGACCCTGGGAGGTGGAGTCCGTCCTGGGGGTAAGAAAACTCGTCGCTCCCATGTAACACCGTTACTGCGCGAGCTGCACTGGCTGCCGGTGGCTTTCCGGGTGCGCTTCAAGGTGTTGATTATCACCTTCAAAGTGCTCCATGGCATCGGACCTGGATATCTCCGAGACCACCTTCTGCCTCAGGTTACCTCCCATCGGCCGGTACGCTCCCACAGAGAGGGTCTCCTCAGGGTGCCGTCAGCCAGACAGTGCCGGCTGGCGACCCCCAGGGGGAGGGCCTTCTCGGTGGGAGCCCCCACCCTCTGGAACGAACTACCCCCAGAGATCCGGGTGATCCCGGATCTCCCCTCCTTCCGCCGCGCCCTTAAGACATGGCTATTCCAACTAGCAGGACTGGCCTAAGGGGAAATTTTTAGCGGGGTTTTTAAAACAATTTTAAATTACAAAGGCCAAATTTAAATATTTCATTTTAATTATGTTTTAATGATAGTATTGGGGTATTTTTTGTATTTGTTTTTATCAGGCTGTCAGCCACCCTGAGTCCGCAAGGAGAAGGGCGGGGTAAAAATTCAATTAAATAAAATAAATAAATAAGAAAGGGCAGTATTTAGCAGGCAAGCTCATGTCTAGCTGCTGGGTTTCTAACCAGAGTTAAGGGCAATCAACTGGGGAACATCCCTGGAAGCATCTGCTGGCACTAGAAGAAATCAGCTAATCTTCCCAGCGCCTGGTGGAGGGAAGAAGGATGCCCCGATTTCTCTCTTGGCTGCCCCCTGGAAGAAATGGGACTGGGGCTTTGGGGTGCCACGTTTCAGCCATTTTTGAGTCTCCGCACCCTTTTTTTCCTGCTCTCTGCCCCCCCCCCAGGCTTTTCCGGTACCCACTGTGAGACGGACATCAACGAATGTGACCCTGATCCCTGCCACTACGGCACCTGCCAGGATGGCATTGCCTCCTTTACCTGCCTCTGCCAGCCTGGGTACACTGGGCACCTCTGTGACGTCAACATCAACGAGTGCCAAAGCCAGCCCTGCAAGAATGGGGGCACCTGTCAGGACAGGAACAATGCCTACACCTGCTTCTGCCTCAAAGGCACCACAGGTAAGGAGGGGGGCAGGGCTTCCCCGGCCTTCCCCCAAAAGGATGGAGCGGAGCCATCTTGCTAACCGGTCTGTGGTCGTCCCCCCCCCCATGCATTTCAGGCCAAGGAAAGAAGCCCTGGAGATGTTTGGACCTGCCCCACCTGGTAGTCCTTGATTTACAACTGGTTTGCTTAGAGCAGGGGTCTTCAAACTTGGCCCTTTTATGACTTGTGGACTTCAACTCCCAGAATTCCTCAGCCAGGCACGCTGGCTGAGGAATTCTGGGAGTTGGAAGTCCACAAGTCATAAAAGGGCCAAGGCTGAGGAATTCTGGGAGTTGAAGTCCACAAGCAGGGGTCTTCAAACTTGGCCCTTTTATGACTTGTGGGCTTCAACTCCCAGAATTCCTCAGCCAGGCACGCTGGCTAAGGAATTCTGGGAGTTGGAAGTCCACAAGTCATAAAAGGGCCAAGNCCGATGATGACCTGCTTTACAGCTGTCACAACTGACGACCGTCATTGGCAGGCTCCCTTAGGGTTGTAAATCAAGGACAACCTGTATATTGGGGCTAAAATTGCCAGCCTCCTCTTTCTGCCTGGCTAAACCAGGAGCCACTGTTTTGTAAGCAAAGTTCTCTTTAACAAGATTTATTGAGATGAACGGCCGCAGAGCAGAGACTTCCTGGTTTCTCTTCTGACAGCCTTCCTGATAACTTTCATCTATCGGTCTCCACAATTGAACCCAGGTTTGCAAGGAAATGGTTCCCTTTATCGCTGGCAGGACTCTGGCGAACACCCCAAATAAATCTTTGCCCGGCGAGGCAAATTCTGGGCCTTACCCAAGTCGCCGGTCATTGCGTAATATTTTAATTTTGCAATTTTGTCTTGTGGATGATGGTTTTGCTGGTCACCAGGAAGTCCCATTGCTACAGGCCCCCAAAGCTTGCTTCACTGTTTGTTTGTCTCTTGCCTGACAGATGGGAGTGAGTTTTCTTTTGACTTTATAAGGTCTCAACTTGCGCACCTCTCCATCCCTGGATGTCAACCAGAGAAACTTTCTTAAAACGACGCTGGGATTTTTCAGAGCCCCACTTGGGGCAAAACTGTGGCCTAACTCTCAGTCACTGAGAAGAAAAGGGGTGTTATGGTTTTGTGTGTGTGTGTGTGTGTGTGTGTGTGTGTGTGTGTGTGTCACTGAGATAGTCTGAAAGCATCACAAATGCCTTTAGGTTCACTGGGGTTCCCCAGTCCTGGACCATTTTGCTAACCGCTCTTTTCTTTTTCCAAGGACCCAACTGTGAAATCAACCTGGATGAGTGTGCCAGCAACCCGTGTGATTATGGCAAATGTGTGGACAAGATCAACGGTTACGAATGTGCCTGTGAGCCAGGATACACAGGTGAGGGAGGGCGGGAGAGACGCGAGCATGGGGCACCTCCTCCTGTGGGCTTTGCGCCCCCTCTCCCCCCAGGACAGGGTCCCCACTGGCTCCTCTCCTCTCTGCAGGGAGGATGTGCAGCATCAATGTGGACGAGTGCGAAAACAGCCCTTGCCACAACGGGGGCACCTGCCGGGATGCCATCAACGGCTTCACCTGCCTGTGCCCGGAAGGCTTCCATGACCCGCTGTGCCTCTCGGAAGTGAACGAGTGCAGCAGCAACCCCTGCGTCCACGGGAGATGCCACGACGGGCTGAACGGGTGAGCGGCGGGCAAGGCTGTGCCAGGCGGGAGGGGCACCCTGGGAAACATGACCGCTTGTGGTGGAGGTTTTGGGAGGGATAGCTGCGTGGCGCCTCTCTTTGCCCTTTCTAAGGACGCTGCTGGGCCCAGCAGCCTTTCGGGAAATCAAACAAGGTTGGGAAGGGTTGTTACGGAGCAGCGTTAGGTTCTCATTTACTAAGGATCTTAATTAAAAGTCAGGGTGGGGAGCCCCGTGTTTGGCTCTGATCCGCACGCTGCCCTCGGGGAACCAAGGATTGATTTGGATGTTGGGTCAAGGAGCAGTTTCAGGTGGATGCTCAATTACAGAAGCTCACCCACGTCAGGCTCTCTTAATTCAGCCTACCTCACAGGATTGCTGTGCAGATAGAATTGGAAGAGCGAGACGAAGCCTCGGGAGGAAAAAATATGACTGAGATGAATACATGTCTATCTATATAAATAAAAATGTAAATGTTCGTTTGTTCAAAATCTTAAATCTCCGAAAGTTCTTCACCGATGGCTTTGAAATTTTGACACAACGTTGCATTCGAATACGCGGGTGTTTTTATATACCTACTATTATATAGATGTCACACCTGTGACAAGTAAAAACATGCTTTTTTTGAAAAACAGCGCCATCTGTTGGACGTAAAAGCAACACATGCTTTTACCAGACTGAGCCACAGCAACGCGTGGCTGGGTACAGCTAGTTTTTATATATTGTACTTAACTATAACAATGCACAAGTAGTCACATAAAATACAAAATTACTCACTTTAAAAATGCAAACGCATAAAGGCATGGAACGCGCCCATGTGGTATCGTTCTTTAAATCTCAAAGCCGAATCTTGCTGGGAAGAGAATGCAGACTTTTGAGGAGATCAGGCTGTGAGGTGGGGATGGCCAAGACCCTGACTGTCTGGGCATAATGCATAAAGTCCCAAATTCTGTCTCCAGACCTGTGAACCCCCTGATAAGGCACACCCCGTAGAAGCCGCATCAATCCACCGTTCTGTGCAAGGCTGAGCTTTGATCAAAAGATTTGGTTCCAGACTGAAGCAGCTTTCAAATCTTCTAGGATTGGGTGGAGGGTGAACTGGCTTCTTCTTAGTACAAAGGCTGCCATCGTATCATTAGCAACTTTTGGGATGCCTCTGTCAGAAACCCCTTCAGGGCAGGATTTCCAAACCTTGGCACGTGGACTTCAGTTGAAGTGAATTCAGTTTTGGGAGTTGGTCCCTGTGCCTTAAAGTTCCCAAGGTTGGGAAACCCTGATCTAGGGCGATCGGAAGCCTCACCCAAGCCACTTCGTTCATGATTAGCAACTTCATCTTCTGTTTTGTAGTCCTGAGTGCCTCAAGGCCTGTCCTTTTTCTCTGCCACGAGTCCTTTGCTGGATTAAGTGTCCCAGGCAGGGTTTGCATGCAGGACTTCTCCATTAGGTCTCTTATTTGTGAGCTGATGCCCTGATGAACATGTCCCTCTCCTGCTTGAGCAGGGGGCTGGACTAGAAGACCTCCAAGGTCCCTTCCAACTCTGTTATTCTGTGAAATCTGTTAAATGCCTGCGGTGGCCATAAAGAAAAAGGACCGTGGAGGAGGGAGAATGGAAAGCTTCATTCTTGAGCAGAAATTGGATAAGGTCCAAGGTGACTATCATGGGACAAGTTAGATTTTTCCATTGGGGCTGCTGTTTTTTGGGGCGATCAAAAGCCAGAAAGCTTCTCCCTTAAATCTCAGGATCCTAATCCAGAGTCGTTTTTCAGGATTAAGGATCTTAATCCAGAGTCATTTTGAAGAACAAGGGAGAAATGGGGTGCCCGTCTCTAGAAGGCACCAATAACGCCCAATAACGTGATGAGTTGGACCTATTTTTGCTCTCCCAGAGACTATTTTAGATTCACTAAGTATTATTTGGCGGCTGGGGCTAATGCGATGTTGGCCTGCTGTTTTTTGCTGCTTCTACAGATGATGTTTTTTTAAAGGTGGTTGGTTCACTGCATTGTAAAGGGGTCTGAGTGGCCTCGAAAGGCAAGGATTATTTTTAAAAGAAAAGCAGCCAAATCCAATCACCGTGTGTTTTGTTTCTCTCCTCCGGAATCAAAGCTACAAGTGTGACTGTGACCCGGGCTGGAGTGGGACCAACTGTGACATCAACAACAACGAATGCGAGTCCAACCCTTGTGTGAACGGTGGAACCTGCAAGGACATGACCAGCGGCTACCTTTGCACCTGCCACGAGGGATTCAGTGGTAAGATCCTGGACTTCACCCACAGCTTCGCCCCTCTAAAAGTCTGGCCAAGTCACGGCAAATTCGTGGTTTTTTTTTTCCTAAACATTGATCACCAGCTTATAAGAGGAAGTCATCAAGAAAGGGAAGTCAAGCTGCTATAAATAAATCACCCTTGACTAAATTGGAAGGGCTTACTTAAATATCTGTCCAAGAGAGGGTTGGCTTGGGCAGACAATCCCTATTTGGGGAGGTGGGCCACCAAAGCAGTTGACCTCAGTCTGGCCCCTCCAGGTGTTTTGGGGAAGCCATCGGAAAGTCTAGCTCCATATTTCTCAACCTTGATAAGGTTAAGGAATTCAACTCTCAAATTGGCTGGGGAATTCTGGGAGTCGAAGTCCTTAAAGTTGCAAAGGTTGAGGAATATCGATCTAGCCCAGGGGTAGGCAACCTTGGCTCTTTTATGACTCGTGGACTTCAACTCCCAGAATTCCTGAGCCAGCATGGCTCAGCTTGGAAACCTCTCCCTTTCCCCTCAGCATGGCTGGCTCAGGAATTCTGGGAGTTGAAGTCCACCAGTCATAAAAGAGCCAAGGTTGCCTACCTCTGGCCTAGGCCTAGGCCGCTTTATGACTCGTGGACTTCAACTCCCAGAATTCCTGAGCCAGCATGG